ACATAATTGCTAAATAATCTCCTATAAGAAAGAGTTCGGTCAACTCAAGAAAAAGGGCATTAAAAAAAAAACACTTTTAATTATGTGATACTCGAGTACAAAAAAGTTGTGTTAATCGAGCGCAACAAGGTCTTTTTGTAATAATCAAGTACTAACTTGATTGTTGGAATGTCTCGTTATTATAAGAAGACCGTGTTGATTCGGATCGTGCCTGAATTATGTATCAACAGTATATATATATATATATAGATATATATAAATTTAAGGGATTTTGTTAAAAATTTAATAGGGGCGTTAATAAAATTAAAAATATACATATATAGATATGTAATATAAATAAATGAAAATTGATCGGGGCCCTATATATTTGGCTCCATCCATGCTCCCGTGAGCTATCAAATCCCATTTCTATGGGGGTCACATTGGTAAGCTTTCCTTGATTTAATGAATCAAAATTTAACATAATGTGCTCCCAAGTCATAAGATTTCAATCAATGGTCCCATTCCACGCGTTTAACCATGTCCCAATGTCATGTTAAAGAATGGCAGGCAAGAAATCATACCTTATCCTAAAGCAGAAGATCAAATTAAGGATAAGATCTTTAATGGGCACATAAATCAGACCTGTGGGATCATGAAATACTGATATCCAGCTAATTCCAAATCCTGCTTGGAGGCTTAGTCAATGCCAACAAGGATCAAAATAGACATATAGACCCAACATTGCAAAGGTCCCATGACATTTGGATAATATACACTTGGTAGAGCATGAAAAGTAGGATAAGAGTCTTCACAAAGGCACAACTAGCTTCAACCATTGGAATATTATGTTTTATTGAACTCAAAAGAGAGAGAGAAGGAAATATCCAAGCTGGTGGCAGTCTTTGTTTGTTGCTTTTTTGGCAGAGTTTTGGAAGTACATTAATGGGGAAGTACCTGATCTGTAATGCAGGATATGACTACTTATACACCACAATCACAGACATTCCCCCTCAGAGGAACCACGTGGACACATAGAGAAATATTTTTTTCCGTTGGATTGTTTATGCTCAATAATTTGGTTATATGTCCACTCGTGTCTCTCTATCTATATATACCCTCTATAAAAACTTATTTATATGAATATATATTAGGGTAATTTATACAAACTTTTCTTATAATTTATCCTAATTACAGAGATCTTCTTTCGGATTTGAGAATTTATTCGAATTTCTCTTAAATTTTAAAATATCTTACACGGACTTCCTTTATGTGTGACTGGCAGTCAAATACACTACGAATCTAACTAATTTACTGAAATGTCCTTAAATTTCTATGGTAAATGACTGAAATACCCTATATATATATAGAGAGAGAGAGAGAGAGAGAGATGATATGAGAGTTGACGATGCTGAGAAAATGCCGGAGGAGAAGCTGATCGAAGCCACAGCCGCAGCAGCAGAAGCAGAGTTGCGAGTGTGATGGCGGATCGAGATCCTAACCGAAGAAGAAAGGTGGATCGGAGAAGTTAGCAGTGCATGGTGTCCATGATTTTTCGGCCGAATGAGGCGCCGTAAAACGCCGTCCACAATCGTGAGTGCCCACCGTTGGCGTGAGTTTTTTCTGATTAGATAAATATTCAACAATTTCTTTTGAGAGTGAGTACTGGAATGATACCTGCTTCTGGCATAGATAGACTGATTAGGTACAGCCATAAGCATGGATGTGTCATAGAAACAGGTTAGCAACTGCATGAATCCATCAAACAAACAGCATAACTTGACAGCCTCAATTCATTCTTACATTAAAAACCTCATACTTCATAACTTTTTAACCCACATATATATATATATATATATATATATCCAAAATTATAAATCAGCAACACAAATGTAGATCCAATCACATTAAGCAATCCAATCATCAAATGGGAAATAAAATTGCTGTTAGTCATTTCAATCAATCACCAACTTTTAAATCCAAAATTATAAATCAACAGCACAAATTTATAACCAACTTCTGACTTGCTATTCGTCTCCTTTTGCAATTCTCAATAACCAAGCTTTTCATCAACATCTATCTTCTCAATCCTCATTCGATCTCAATTATAAAAAAAAATCACAATCAAGAACCAAAAAAAAAAATCAAAACTTGCAATCTGGGTATCCAAAAAAAGCATTGCCAAGACATGCCCTTTAAGATCATAACACTTTGTAGTATAAAAATTGAAAAAAAAAAAAAAAAAAAAAAGTACAAATTGGGTAATTCTCAATAACCAAGCTTTTCATCAACATCTATCTTCTCAATCCTCATTCGATCTCAATTATAAAAAAAAATCACAATCAAGAACCAAAAAAAAAAATCAAAACTTGCAATCTGGGTATCCAAAAAAAGCATTGCCAAGACATGCCCATTTAAGATCATAACACTTTGTAGTATAAAAATTGAAAAAAAAAAAAAAAAAAAAAAAAAAAAAAAAAGTACAAATTGGGTAATTCAAGAAATGCAAAATTATTACTTAGCAAGACATAATCAAAACACTTCCAAATTTCAGGAATTGAAGAAACTAGTGTGAAATATATTTTTGTAATTGACATATTTCGGTAACAAAATAAGTCCTAGTCCGAGTTGTAATTTTAGTTACCATATCAGATTCGATATCGACTGCGGAATTGGAAGGTTGTTTAGAAGAGAAAAGTACTGTTGTTTATCGAAAAGGAAAGAACAACACATTAGGAGATTGTTTCCCACTTAGGACACAAATACCTATAAAGTATATTTCCAGAGTTTCCAAAAACAGAAAATCCAAGTTCAAATTGGATTTTAAGTGAACCGGTACCTGAATTTGGGAACCGGTTCAAGAAGTTGAAATTCGAGAAATTCCATTTTGTCCTTTAGGAACCGATACCAAGATTTGGGAACCGGTTCCAGAAGTCCTGATAGTATCAAGATTTCAGTTTCTTTGTTCTTTTTGATTCCTTAAGTCCTTTGCACGAAATTTCCTTTATTTTCAGAAGGAATAGGACTTTGCAAACCTCTATATAAACCTTGTCATACACATAGGTTTATTCCCGACTTTTGCACTATCAAGTTATTATTCTTAAAAGCCTTAGGAAGATTTTTGTTTCAGAAATTCTTAGAGAATTTTCTGTTTATCTTTCTAGAACACATACACATAAACACATAGTGAGTTTAGAGTTGTGGTGTTCAAATCCTGATCGTGATCACACAGTTACATCTACATCGATCAGACAAAAGCAGATCTACTTCTATATAGAATTCATACGATTGAAGAACAGAAATAAAAACGATCACATTTTGAAAAGGTTGGAGTATTCGAGGAGTGTTGTCTAATCTATGTGTTACTCTTCTACAAATATCAAGTATAAGCCTGAGGTTAAGTTGCTGTTGAACGGGGAGTCGCAAAGTTTGAGAATTGTCAGCAATTGGTGTTTGGTAGAACGATAGGGTGTAAGCCAGAGTCAAAGTTCAATGTACTTTGTTTCAAGTATAGTGGATCGGTTTACTTTAGATTACACAGTCCATGAGGTTTTGTTCCACACAAACAGTTGACGTATTTTATCAAATGAGGTTTACTCACTAAAATCCTGGTGTCATTTCTAACTTTTACTTTGCTTTATTTTATCTGCATGTGATTAATTGTTTAATTACTAAAATAAAGAAAGTTAGAAAAACACAAGATCTGTTTTCAAAATAATCAGAACTTTCTAAAATATTCCGTTGCGTACAACTAACAACTACAATGTAGGTAATTAAAGAAATGCAAAAGTATGACTTGGATATCGAAATTGAGGTTAAAAGAGCTAAGAAATTACTATAAAAGTATGAGTAAGCACCAGGTGAAGAATAGAGGACACAAAACCCAAAACATGGAAGCCGACGTCAGTAATTTACAGAAGTCAATGGCTGGAAATTTCTGCAACAACAAATCACAATAGCCAAACCTAATCGCAAAATTCATACCCAGAAACCCAATCGTTCGCAGTCACCGTTCCTTTTGCCTGAATCGCTGAGAATTGAAGGGACCCAAACTTCTCTCTGGTTGCTGTCCTCGTCACAGCCACCGTGTCTTCACTGTCGGAATTTTTGATATTTGCTCGCTAATCAAAAGCTTGCCCGCCGATTATATCACTGCCTTCGCTGGAGCTCGTTGTTAGGAGCATTCTCTGGTCGCTGTCTTTTTTTGGTCCGGGGAGTTTCCATCATCTATTACATTACCGATGGTACAAGACATATATTAAATAATACAGAAAGTGTACAGAGTTAGATGGAGGGTAAAATGGGCATTTTACTTAATTTAGTACATGGCATCAGTGCATTCTGTCATTGATTGACATTGACTCTAACAAAAGGGAAGTTTGTGTAGATCAGTTTCATTTTTAAGGGAGGTCCGAGTAAATTCCCAAACCAAAAGGGAGGTCCCTATAATTATGGTAAACTATAAGGGAGGTTCGTGTAAATTACCCTATATAATATTATATAAATATGTATTTAGTGTACAATACAATGTGCCCCCACTTAAATGAATTTCTGGCTAGATTGATAAATCTCTTAGGATTGAAGAATGCAAATGCAGGCTACGGAGGTGGAGGGGGTTGGTAGCATTACAAATATTAGAGTTTCGGAAAGTAAGAGGTGGGCCAACAATGGAGTTTTGCGCAAGTGAGGGAGGTTGTTCGCGATGATGTAGAGTCGTAGAGAGAAAAAAACGATCGTGTGCTTACTCTCAGGAGTAGATATTTAGTGCATCATGTGCTAAGTTAATTAGAGCCGTGTGTGATATGTACATGCACGGCTCTGATTAGCCCGGTGTATCGGCGTATCGAATACCCACTCAACTCTCAGCTGTATTTTGTTTGATAACCCGCAAAAAGACCCAGTAATCTATTAATAATTCATTTTTAAATTTTTATCAATTTTATACTGATGTCAATTTTTAATTGGCCACATAACATATAAGAACGAACCTCCATGTTATATGGTCCAAGGCAAATATTAGTTTTTAATTTTTTACCAAACGATTACAATTATTATGAAACGGGTTTTCTGGGCTTAAAAGCCCGGTCTACGGCTATAGGAAGCCCAGCCATACACCACCTAAATTTAATCAGTGACATAATATATATGTATATATTTCCTCCACGAACAATTTGTTTACATGATAAGCAACAGTGCCACCAACAGAGTCGAATCCTTGTAAAAGGTGCTCATGATCGCGTCTCATGAACATTGCTCTCAGACCCAACTCATTCCTTCGCCTTTCAATCCCTTTCCCTCCAGTCTCACCCCAAAATCTGAAATGGGTCTCCACTGCAGCAACCAAAACTCCTCCACAAGTTCCTCCACGCCCAGAAGACCACCTTCGTGCGTTCTTCAATACTGGAAAGGATAAAACACCACTCGATCAAGAGCTTGCACTCGTCTCGGCATTGAAGTCTTGTTCATCCCTTTTGGCTATCTCTCAAGGCCAGCAAATCCACAGTTTTGTCTTTAAATCCGGCCGTGACTCGAACATTTTCATCCAGAATAGTTTGATTAACATCTATGCGAAATGTGGGTTCATGGACGATGCTGAATCGATGCTTGACTCCTCGTCTGTGTTAGATTCTGTGTCTTATAATATTATGATTGCTGGGTATGTGAAATGTCGCCGGTTGGACCATGCACGTAGACTGTTTGATGAAATGCCCCTGAAAGGGTGCGTTTCGTATACTACTATGATAATGGGTTTGGCCCAAAATGGTTGTTGGCATGAAGCAATTGAGGTTTTTAAGGATATGTGGTTCGCAGGTGTGACTCCGAATGCGGTGACTATGTCAAGCGTAATCTCAGCGTACTCGCATTTAGGTGGCATTTGGAACTGTCGATTGCTTCACGCGTTGGTGTATAAAATTGGGCTTGAAATGCTTATTCTTGTTGCAACTAATTTGGTTCGCATGTATTGTGTTTGTTCAAGTGTCCTGGAGGCCAGAATTTTATTTGATGAGATGCCTGAAAAGAATACAGTTTCCTGGAATGTAATGTTAAATGGGTATTCAAAAGCCGGACTTATTGATTTGGCTAGAGATTTGTTTGAGAGGATTCCCGTAAGAGATGTGATTTCATGGGGTACTATGATCGACGGCTTTGTGCAAGTAGGAAGGTTGAGTGAAGCTTTAAACATGTATCGGGCAATGCTATGCACCGGATTGAGTCCCAATGATGTTCTGATTGTGGATATACTGTCCGCTTGTGGACAATCAACAGCCTTCAGTGAGGGCCAGCAAATTCACAGTACAATCATAAAGACAGGCCTCAATTGTTATGACTTCATGCAAGCAACAATTATCCATTTTTATGCCGCTTGCCGCCAAGTCAACCTTGCTCGTTTGCAATTTGAGCTAGGCAGCAAGGACCATCTGTCATCTTGGAATGCCCTCATTGCCGGATTCATAAGAAATGGAATGATTGACCATGCAAGACAATTATTTAATGAGATGCCTGAAAGAGATGTTTTTTCATGGAGTTCAATGATATCTGGTTACTCACAGAGTGAGCAGCCTAATATGGCTGTAGTACTCTTTCATGAAATGGTTGCAAGTGGTATCAAACCAAATGAAATTACAATGGTAAGTGTCCTTTCTGCAATTGCTACTTCGGGTACATTGGAAGAGGGAAGGCGTGCCCATGAATACATATTCCACAACTCTATCCCTCCTAATGACAATTTAAGCGCAGCAATCATTGACATGTATGCCAAATGTGGGAGCATCAAAACTGCCTTGGAAGTCTTCCATCAGATCCGAAACAAGACCTCCTCTGTCTCGCCATGGAATGCGATTATTTGTGGGCTGGCCATGCATGGGGACGCAGAGTTGTCTCTTAAAATATTCTGTGACTTGCAGAGCCGTAAAATTGAACTCAATTCGATTACATTTATCGGAGTCTTGAGTGCGTGCTGCCATGCTGGATTGGTGAAAGCAGGAGAGGGACATTTTAAGAGCATGAAGAGTGTGTATGGCGTAGATCCAAATATCAAGCATTATGGTTGTATGGTGGATCTTTTGGGCAGAGCCGGGAGATTAGAAGAAGCAGAGGAGCTAATAAATAGCATGCCTATGAGAGCAGATGTTGTGATATGGGGCACATTGTTGGCGGCATGTAGAACGCATGGGAACTTGGAAATAGGGGAAAGGGCAGCCGAGAGCTTGGCAAGGGTGGAAGCATCTCATGGGGGAGGTAGAGTTCTTCTATCCAACATTTATGCAGATGCAGGGAGGTGGGACGATGCATTTTTGGTAAGACGGGCAATGCAAAGCCAGAGAGTGATGAAGTGCCCCGGGTACAGTGGTGTCGTGTGATGTTGTAACGAGGTTCTAGTACATTGTCAAGAACTTCACCTCAACTTGGGCACACGAATGACTGTTCTTTTCGGAAAAATGATTTTTGTTAAATGGATCCAGTGTCACCATGCAGACTGACAAGTCTGAGGATGCATATTTGACTCTGAAAGCAGTAGCAAACAGATCTGTCTTCTATCTCTCCCTCCCAACACAATACAAACTTGTGTTTTGATATGTGCATTGTATCAATGCTTTAAAATTTTTAGCAAAATTACCGAATATGTTGACATTTATTTTAATCCAACATGAAATTTCAGCAACTCCTGGTACTTTTTGCTGTGCAAAGTTGATATTTTTTCATCCAAGTGTAGTCAATTCAGCATCCGGGTCAGGCCACGGAGTTTGATAGCAACACGTTGCAGTATATGGATCTAAAACGGTTCAAGTACCTGCAAAAGCCTGGTAAGTTGTTGGCCGGAGGAACTTAGGCTTCGTTTGGATTCATGGAATTGGAAAAAGAAACGAAAGGGAGAGACAATAGTTTTCATTGTTTAATTTGTAAAAGGAATAGCTTATCCCTCCAAATTTATCCGAGAACAGCTAGCAACTTAAGTGAATCTTTCCTAATACCAAAAATATATTTAACATTTTAAAGAATAAACTTTAGAAAAACATTTAAGTCCTCCTTAACATTAGGACATGATGGTAAATTGTTAAGATAGTTTTTTTTTTTTTTTTTTGTTTTTTTTTTTTGCCTCCTTGTTTTTCTTTTTCCAAATAAGAATGTTATTATTTATTTTCTTTTCCTTCGTAATTTATCCAAACAAAAATTTCTTTTTTTCTTTTTTCAAATAAGAATGTTATCATTTTCTTTCTTTTCCTTCGTAATTTATGTCAACATAAATTGAGGTTATTACTATCTTTGCTTTCTTTTCTTCTCTTGTAGCTTCCCTCCTGTTTATCCAAATGAAACCTTAAAAGACCAATCAAGTTTATCTGCACATCCATTCTATTAGTGTTCTTGTTAAACTTGGAATGTGCTTCGGAAAATTCAAATTACTATAAAACAAAGTTGGTACACAACCTGGTTAAGAGCAATTACAGTACCAAATTACAAAGTTCGTTATTATAGTAGAGCCTAAGTTACATTAACTGAACCCATTTGAATAGAACTTTCCATTCCCCAACTGAAATTTTCAACTAAAAATATATATTTTAGTACCCTACATTCTTCACAACAACTTATCCTGCATGAAAACTAAGTATAGTTCTAAAAATAAAATTATCAACCTACAAAATTTTGGATGCTGAGAGAGACTATAATTCATATTGAAGGATCATTTCTGCAGCTTCACCCATCGTGCCAACCCCACCGGCCCCTAATAAAGCATGAGCAAGTTCCTCCTCATTCCATTGCCTCAGCCCTCTGCTCAGTCTCTTCAACACCTCCACATCCACCTCCAATACCCAACTTGGTGCGCAACCTACCATTAGGCTCACAAACCCCGACACATAGGCATGCCAAGTGGCCTGATCACAACCTAGTGATATCTTCCCATCAAGAGCACTTGCTAGGAATTCCATGTGGCTCCGAAGGATCTTTGGACACCGCTTTGATGATGATGATGGTGATGATGAATCCACGCCCCATGCAAAAGCTCCACACAGCACGGCAAAGTAAGCGAGTGCATATCCCCCAAGCATTGCAACCAGACCTCCTGAACCGTCATCTTGCTCAGACCTGTGAACAGATATAAACCAAGAAGGTAAGTTTTCCTTAATCAACGACTGAACTAGCCCCAAGCCACCAGATAACCATACTAAAGAAGCTCCAAGTGAAGCAGCAAGTTTCACCCTAGTCATTGCTTTAGCAAGTGAAACCTGCCCATATCTCATTCCAATTTTTGCTTTCTGGAGCTTCTCCAAACTCTCTTCAGAAAGCCCACTACATACTATGTCCCTCACAGAATGCATCAAGAGAGAAACTATCTCTTCCTTTAAGAACATGATCTCTCTTATGGACCGGTAAACTCGGAGATATAAAATTCCTGGTGCAACGGGAGAAATCCCACCACAGAAATGGGATCCAAATCCATGGCCAAGAAGTGCTCCAACACCTCCATTGCTTGAGATAGGGCTGGCATTTAAACCAAGTGTTGCAGTGAAGCAGCTTTTGAGAAGTTGCACCACTGCATCATTGTTGTGGAGGAAGACAGTCCTTGAGGCAGAGAAGACAAGGAAATCGCTCCAGCGCTTTGCCTTTTGGGTCCATAAAGAAGCCACAATCGGCATGCATGGCCATGGGCAACCTGCCGCAAGGGTCTCCAATGCTGGCCCAGCGAGATTGAGAAATCGTTGTGAGGCTTTATCAAGTTTATAGGTTATGGTGAGACTCACAAATGCAGCCAAGGGCAGTGGAAGGGTAGCTGGAAAACTTCCCCCTGCAAGAAAGACCCTTTTTCAATCATTATATTGAAGAACTAGTTCTTAATTACGAAAACAGAAAAATGTGTCCCTTTAACTTGCTAAAGTTTCCACACAATGACTATACTCATAGATTTTTTTTTTTTTTTCTTTTTCCCCCTTAGTTATAGTTCAAAGTTTCTTGCAAAGGTGGCTTAAATTCCCACCCAACCAAACCAACCAAACCCTTCCCCCAACAACCCCCACACCCCCCACACCCCCCCCCCCCCCCCCCCCCCCCCCCCAACCCACCCACCCACACACACACACACACACACACACACTCTTATAATGCTATGGTACTGAACTATGGTGCATCATAAAAAATATGCATATATTGTTAAAAAGGAAGACCTGCAACAAGGCTTGGGACATCAACACCAGTGGCAGCTAAGATTTTCTTGATCTGTTCCTCAACATTGGAGAGATTTGCAGCAGGGCTTGGCCAATCTGTGCCGTTCATAAATACTGGTTTCCAAACGCCCCGAGTTACTTCAGCTGAGAAGTAAATTACAATGGTTGCCAAAGATGCAGGAAGATAATCAGCTAAATCTTTAAGCCCTGAAATATATTTAGAGAAGATGAAGTCATACCAGTGTAACTTTGATCCAGATCTACTACAAATACAAATAAAAATTGGGTGCTGCAGCAACTCACACTAAGAAATTTCTTGGTCATCCTGACTTCCCCATTTAAATATGTTATAGTTTTTGAGGAAATCAGATATTCCCTATTGAATAAAGTGCTGCTATATGAAGGGCACTTTTCAGAACAAGAACTACAGTATGGAGTTTTGACATGATGTAATAAAGAACAAAGACCACATCAACATCCAAAAATTGGGCGCACACACCAGACAGACCTGTACACAGTTCACGAGGAGACAGCCTGCCATGAGCACAGGCTGTTAGAGCGGCATCAACAACAAAAGGAACAGCTTCGAGGACATCCCATGCTGGTAATGTAGGTCTTAAACAGGTATCTTCATTTCCAGCTCCGGACGAAGTACTACTTCCAGATGTCACAGAAGTCAAAGACTGGGTTCCTCTACTAATCCTTCTGAACATCATGTTAAGAAGCCCATCCACAGTCTGATGAACGGGGGTCCCATGAACAAGACCAGAAAGGGTTGAAGCTATACAAGCTTGATGTTGCCGATACCATACTTTCAATTTTGGAAACGAATCCACAAAAATGGGTTCTGGAGATGATGAATTTACAACAGCTGAGAGTCTCGCTTTATTTCGATCCTTGTGGACATTTCCGGAAGATACTAGGTGGGAGTTTCGTACTAATAGCAGGTATTCAGGAGTGAATATGGATCCGACTGGGGGTACGTCTCCTACTCGATGTTCAAGAGGTGGATGATTAAACCTCCACAGCTTTAGAAGAAGTGCGAAAGCATTCGAGAACACAGCATGGGCAGAGATCTCTTCCCCTGTGGTAAGAGTCCACGAAACATTGGGCACACATGAACCAAATACCTCACAGATAGGCATTAATGAACCTGCAAGTTGCGGAACCTGCCAAAGATGATAGAAAAGCAAACAAATTATTCATACTTGGCATGAATGTCCTAGTAATCCCCCACGCACTCCCCCTCCCCTCCTTCCAATTCCCGCTGCTTATTATTTGAAAGGAATTTAAGTCCCCCTTTCTTCTCACAAGAACTCAGTTTGAGCCACAAAACAAACAATAAACACACACAGCAAACTCAACCGTCAACTCTTGACTGGATATATAACGTTCAAATAATCATAGTATATTACTTATTAGATAACTAAATGTACAAAAACCTCTTTTTGGCTCTTGATTTTTTTACTTCTGGACCCTACTTTTTCCACTTTACAACTGCGCTCTGTTCTCAACAAAACAAAGCATCATCCCTACCATTTGGGGTCAGCTATAAGAAATCTTTTTCGTCATTCTACTTTATCTAGGGCCATATCTCTTTGTGATATTATAGCCTATCATGTCTTGCATCCTCAACCACATCATTTTTGGAAAACCCTCACCCTTGAATCACTTTTAACTTAAAGAGCTGAACTTGAAACATATCTTTATAAACGTGCAATCATTGGTTTAATTACATATTATACCATCGAGGTATGTGTGGTTATAGTCGCGTAAATCTGGTCAAATCAATGAAAATACCCTCTTCTATCTGTACAAGGAAGATGTCTGGCTGAGTAGAAGCAGAACATACCAAGCCATGTAGAGAGAAAATCTGAACACAGTCAACAGGTGCTATTCCAACAAGGAGAACATTCAGCATTGGAGCATAACGTATCAAATGGCTGTCACTCCCAGAATAATCTGCAGGAACCGGCGGAGACAATAGTCTAGTAATAAAATAAACAGTGTGCTCCTGCAAGCGTCAGGACCTAACATATTCAGGACAGTTGGGTGATTCTGCTAGGAAACCAAGTGATACAGACTCTCAATGATGTACTGTATATATATATATAAGTATACATACACTTGCAAATGCAAGTGTGACCAAAGCATTGCTCTATGCAGTTTGGTATTACTAATAAAAAGGGGCTAACCCAGTGCACGAAACTCCCGCTATTGTGGGGTTTGGGGAGGGTCAAAAGTACACAGCCTTACCTCCACAGGCTGGGAAGCTATTTCCCATTTCGAACCCCTGACCTCCAGGTCACAATGGAACAACCTTACCATTGTACCTTTGATAAAATTCAATATTTTAAAATGTAATAACTGCTACCTCATTACCTGTATATTCCAACCACAAATTAGAGAGGCCCCACAAAGAATGGTAGCAGCAGCTATCTTCTCATCTTCTGATCCTTCGACTGCAAGTTCAAATACTTTCTTGAGCTCTGCTAAGCTTCCATCAAATCCATGAGCTTAAATTCAGTTGCTATAGCCTTGGCTAAATCTATAAAAAATAGCATCTGATATACCTGGCTTCAGGAAAAAGAAGTTATAACTGAAGACCAGGCCACAATGAAGGAATATAGAATGAATCCAACAACTATTCACATTGTATCACCTCTATATTTTTGTACATTGGAACCACCATCCATTAACAGAATATTCATGGCATTACACGTGGAAGGATAATTCCTAAAGTTAGTGTAATAGATTGCTTATATTAATAAATATTGCAGATTGGAATATCCAGCCTCCATCACTACTACTTTGTAGAACAGACGATCCATGAACATAAGAGTTACAATTTTATTTGCTGGAGCTCAATTATGCTTCTGTTATAAAAAATTTGGCCTGGTCGAACAATCCCATCCACCAACCCCACGGCATCAACTATCAAAATTCAAAAACTGAGTTTGCAAAGAAACCATGGCATGGCATTATAAACTTGCCAAGTCATTGTATAATAACTGAAGATTTAAAATCAGATTGAAGATAAACCCTCAGTATGAATGACTTGATGAGAGAAACTTAGTTCAGAACAAGTATAGCATTACATGGACTCATTGACCACATAAACTATGTGAGCATGTGCATTAGTATACCTTGAAGCAGGTGCTGAGACTAAAGCATTTATCATTAGTGGAGTAAGTGGGGCCCCCTTCATAAATGATGACCAATCAGGCATTTGAGCGGGCACACTATGAGGTATTTGGTTGATGCGTCCATTCACGTAGCCTGGCCAATAATATGCTGATGTGTCAAGTAAATTTCTGGCAATACAAGCCTCGACTATCAAATGTCGCATGTTTCCAGCTGCAAACATGGATTAAGACTGATTAAGACTAGAAACCACATGAATATAACCAAAAAGGGAACTTATTTTTTAATTTTAAGATAAAAAAGATGATGTTCAATTCAATAAAATCAACTTGAGCTTTATAGATTATTTTTTATATATGTTGTAGCTCATATAAACAGTTTGCGCATATTCTTAGCCTCATACATGCTTTTAAATCACAGCATCGATAACATATGGGTCATCACCGTGTACAGTATCCGGAATATCAGGCTAGGTGTGACCGGAATAGGTTATCGATGGCATAAATTTTTTTCACTAAACCACTACACAGTCAATAATACAAATGTTTAATCCTTTAATCCCATGGTAGGTTGATTTTTTTCTTTGTTTTCCTAACAATTGAAATTAAATGGAAATATTTAATGGCTCATGAGAAAGAGATGCTACTTACAGCAGTTGATTGGCATGTCTTTCATGCTGATGCACTCAAAATACGCACTACCAACATTGATTCCTGAAACAAGCATCATTGCTTTCGCAGCAGCCTGATTGGCCGCAGAAACTACTGCTTGAGGTGGAGTCAGCAAGCCCTGATAATCGCCCAAACTCTGTAAGCTAGAGACCAAATCCATACGACGCTTCCCAGGAACCTGTTTTTCCTTCCAGTGATTGGTGGAGAAGCATTCTCCCCCATCAATTGGGGCATCTTCCTCTTCCTCAATAAGATCAGCAATCACAAGAGTTGTGATAGACAATAACATGCACAAGCGAGTATCAAGGCGAGGCACAGGACCCTCAATTGGATCCCTTTCCTAAAGGTTAATGAAAAAAAAAAAAAAAAAAAAAAAAAGTAAGACTTATATAGACAGGAAGAAATGTGTTGTCCACTAAAACCTTGAAATGACACTCCCCACATTCCATACAGTGAATCCAACCTCCAGTCCAAATCAAGAGAGATTACTAAGAATCACTCAGATGGGCTTTGAATGAAACCCAGCCAGTAAGACAACTTACAAGTCAAAGCATGGATCTTTCTAGCTGCCTAGATTGTCATAGATGTGATGCCTGATTCATTCCCCTATTCCTATTTCTTAGTATTATCAAGAAAGATATTACTTCTAAATATCATACCAGATATTCGATCTTGCACTTTATGGTATGAAACAAGAATTTAAATAGATTATTTTTATTACAACTCTATCTTTAGTTAATGTAATATATGATGTGTGTGTGTGTGTGTGTGTGATACACCAAAATACTTGAAATGTTCTAAGTCTGATCTGCAGATTGGAAAGACACAATGACAGTGCAAGGAGCATCAGCTTGGATTTTCCAAGAATGAATCATATCTATAAGTTTTGCAAAGAAATTTGTTCAGTAGTGATAAATTCCAACCCTTTGAACAAGACGTAGAGCTGCCATCCAAAGCCCTAAAAAGGTCTCATGCCAGGTGGTGCTATTAATTGCTTGAAGGGCCTTCATCAAACCTGTATGGATAAAACCATCAAGTTTTTGTATTAGACAATGGTTTGACTAAATTTACAAGTTTATAAAAGTAAAGAACCGAGGCTAAAACTAATCTTACCAGTAATAATTTCAATTGCACTTGTTTCAGTAACTTGTGACCCATCCATTGCATCTTCTAAAAAAAGATCAAGAGGAAGCCAAAGAGCAGAACAACTAGCACCATGACAAAGACGAGCAGAATGAGCCGGAGACCCAGAAGCCATAACCGCATTAAACTCCTGCAGTGAACTTGTTTTACATTTTTGAGACAAAACTTTGTGAGTATCTGATATCAACTGTAAAAGAGCCTCTGGAGTCATAACTTTTGAATTTCTTAATGCTGATGAATTCTCTACAAGCAGCTGTATTTGCTGGACGAATAATCCCCAATGCGTGGGCCTGACAAGTGGCAAGCATGTAATAAGTAAATTTTTCATTCAGTTTGTAGGCTAAGAAACAGATAGAGATAAGTAAACGATTATTGACGATAATCTGAAAGAAATCCTTGACCTAAACGAAGTGGAATTTCAAAGCTGGATTCATGTAGTCATCCCCCAACAGTTAACTTTGTTGAGCATGAATTTAGATTTTATCAAATTCCATTCAATGGAGACACAGTAAAACACAATTGCATTTTAAGGTTAGACAATGATCTAATGCATGGTTAATACTTGATACTAAAATATTTAAGCAAATTCAATCTTGACAGAAGAATGCATGATGTTTGAAAAGCAATTGTTAAAAGAATGAAGTTCTGACATGTTTCGGCGTGCCAAGTAAAGAATCCTGGAAGTTACTTTATTTTGCAGAAATTGCCCCACTAACTCTATGGCCACCACAGTATTTATATTCTGTAATCTTTCTCGATGCTCAATCCTCTTCTCATCATAACTATCATGACCGTCTAGTTCCATATCTTGAGGATGAGTTTCCCATCTAGATTTCCTTTCTGGGGTTAGTTCCAGCAACCCTTCATCATCTAATGATGCGTCAAGCAACTGCCAAACAATTGAAAAAATAAATTCAACTGCAAGAATGCCAGGTTCACTTGCTCGCACACCAAATATCTGAGATAGATGAAGAACATTGTCTATTGAATTCATGACCCTGCATGAAGAAGACAAATTAGAAATAACATACGAGAACACTCTCCCTTAGTATGTTTATTTTATGCTTCTCAAATCAAAAAGGGAAAGATCTACAAAATTCCATCATAAATCAAATATATCATGACCAGGTCAACATTATTCTCAAGCAAACAGGCACAATAGAAAACAAAATAGCATAGTTTACTAAAGAACAACCCTGTCTCAATTTTTTTTAATTTTTTTTCTTATTAACATCGCTGCTCAGACTTTCTCGAAGTGCTAGGATTTGGCTATCCCCACATTGTTAGAATTTAAGACTTTGTCAGTCAAAGTCGATAAACACACTTGTACTGAACGCACACAAGTATATTGTTGACACGATGTTTGTGAAAATAAAAAAAGAACAAGATGCGGTGGAGCTTCAATGTGCAGAGCTTGCAATTTTTGGAATGAAGTAATTAAACTGAGATGGGAATGCAACAAGTGAAAATAAACAGAGTAGTCAAATGTGCTATATAATTGATGTAAATTTGTTCTGATGTCAGCTTTGTGAGTTGAAGTCGAACAATCACTAAACCTGTACCGAACACAGCACAAATATATGGTTGACGCCTATTATATGTATTTCAACTAAAAAATTACGAGACTCAATGCAGCTTGATGTGTATAATTTGCATTGTTTGGGGAAAAAAAGTTAATGAACTACTATACGAGTGCAATAAGAGAAGATCATTAAACAAGTGTTCTAGATACTTGATGCAGATATAACTATTAGCTGAGTCAGGGAACATGTATGGCCCTTAACAGATATCATTCTCTCCATTTAAGTACAGTATTCTCTTCATTAAATCTTATGGTTCATCGCAAACTTTCATTTGGCAGCTACTTTCTATTACTTTTCCAATAATTTGGTCGTAAATGAAGTTAATCAGAGTTGTTTACTCGCAAAATAGCCCTATTAAATTTGGAATACTTTCTCAATGATTGGCACAGTATAAAACATATGGTGGAGAAAACACCGGCAATGCGAATAGTGTGCATGCATGATGAAAACCAATCATGAACCAAAATATTATATATGATATAAAATATTGTACTTGCATGCTTCACTATTCTAGGGGTCATTGATTGGTGCAATGGTAAAAAAATTAAGAGTAACAAGCACACAAACAAATTCTAGTACGAGAGTAACCACTTTGTGAAAAATAACATCAAATGTTAGGTGTCTCTCCAACCTTCCCCTCCCAGCATCCCATCATCACCCACCTAGCAATCGATAAAACTACTATAAAGCACAACTTCGTGAAACAGTGAAATGGATGTTGCCAATGGTATGTGCATACAATATTCACAAGTCTACATTCTACATATGGATAATGTTAGTTTCAAATTATCCAAATTAAACAAACATATAGCAATTGACAGCTAGGTAAGCAAATAAATAAACCAGCTAGGGACCTAGGTGTTGCCCAGAGCAACAGTACAACTACAATACCAACAAGTTTACGACCACGTAATGCAAGTCCAAGAAATAATCCAAATAAAATTAAAATACTCCAAATAAAACTAATGTATATAGAATGGCTAGAAAAACATCTTTGGTTAGATTGAGTGGAGTTGGAATCTACACTTGATATTACACTTAAAGCTATAAAAAATCTTAGATTTGAAATTCTAGAATATTATTATCTATGAATCCCAAGAGAGTTAAAGAGATGTATGAAAGGAACAGTGCCACGCCCACTTTCTCTCTATGGCACCGTCGTGGAAAAGTGCCTATGAAATTGGTTGGTGGTATGACTTCTAATGTGACAAAATGAAATAATAGTTAAGGAATTTGGGCACTAGGTCACCCAAGGCGTGCTTAATTGAGACAAAAGTGAGTAAAATGAAATAGCCCATATGGACTAATGGAACATATTATTGGGAAGATGTTTAGCACCCAATTCATCCATACTTGTGCACATTTGCCAATTGTTTTGCATGATTTCCTAACCGTGGATGTGTGTTCAAAGTGTAAGTAAACCTTGTAAGATTCTATATTGTTTTAGCCTTTTGAAAGTGAGACTAGACCTATGGGAAAGTTCTAACCTCATGCCCTTTAATCATAATGCATGTGACTATTGACTTAAGAGTTGACTCGGGTGAAGTAATGACAAAATATAGATTTCAACGGCATAATGACATGGAAAGACCTAAGATTGCTAGGTGCTATCTTTGTGAGTATGTCATAGGACTATTGCGAAAAATGTCTCAATCCCATGAATTTATTGTGTATGAGAAGTGAGATAATATGACCAGAATTCTAAATGCCTTAGACTGCAAAATGAACAATGGCTTTCAATGAACTATAATTCCAATAAATTAAGACCGAATGTGGATTAGAATCCTACTTGAGTAAGAATTCTACATGAAGTAGGTAACCTAAATATGATGAAGCCCTCAATAGATGAGAGCCTTACACAGAATGAAAGCCTTACCAGTCGGGCGAGGCAGTAGTATGAGAAGCGATTGGAATGTCCTAATGCGAGTGACTGAAAGGGATGGGTCAAGTGCTCCATTGTTCACCACTAGTTTCTGGTATGTCTATCAGAAGTAGTTTCAGTTTTGTTTTAGTATGGTCCATATCGTGGGAAATTGAGGTCTAATGAATTACTACTAAAAACATGAAATAAGTCCTAAAAGTGCCAAAAGTGACCAATTTGTTTAAACCGGAGACTACTACTGAAATTGCGACAAAATAATGACCAAGGACATGAGCTAAGGCTTTTATGAGGGATGCATTATGAAATTTTAAGGTGAAATTATATATAAAAATCTATAAAAATAATGTCAAAAAAGTGAAAAATCTACTGGACCTAAAATGACCAAAAACACTTAGTGCACTCTAGTGTAATTCAGGTAGAGTTTCAACCTAGGGACTGACTAAAGGTGTTGGGAATGACAAATTGAATTTTTGATGATAAAAATATTATTGGGGTTGATAATTCATAGAACCGGAACCCAAGCCTTATAGTAGAGAGATGCACAAGCTCCACTGATCTAGACCTACAGGGGGTGAATAAGTCTTGTAGAACTAATTACCAGTTTACTTTTCAACTTCAATTTAACAGAACTTTAAACTAGGATTATGGCAGATATTAAAAATCTAATCAATCGACAGTAATAATAAGCAATTAAAACATAAAGCAATGGACACCAGATTTTTACTTGGAAAACTCTAAGTAGGAAAAACCATGGAACTTAATCCAGACAAACCAAATTCACCATAAGAGAAAAAGATTACAACCTTAGAGTGGATTTGGAGCCTTCCGGATTGTGATCGAATCAGTGATCACATGGTAGCAATCAGATGGCGATTGTTATGTAAAATAATGAAATATTAATAAAATTCAACATTTAGAGTGGATTTGGAGCCTTTGGGACTCTTGGATTGCATTGATTACACACTACTAAGCAATCAAAACATGGATTTTATACCCAAAAGGGGGTGGCCGAGTGGGGCAAAATGAAGTGTCTTCGAGTAGTTTATTACATGTAGACCATGTAGGTAGCTAGATGCTTTTACTTAAGCATATGAATTCTCCATGTACTCTAGCTATTCTCCCAAGCAGAGTCGAGTGGTATCAAGTTGAATCAAGCAGAATGACACATGAAAGCTTAAGGTTCACCTCCTCAACTTTCTTTTCTAAATTTAATCGTGCAGCTGTACAACACTAGCACTCTAATTCAAACAGCAGTATCAAAACGAATACAATAAGTGGTATATCTTTATTCAAAAGCCAGGTACTAGGAGGTTTGGCCTCTTTTTTTTTTTTTGCACAAAGTGGCTGTTCTCATACTCGAACGCTCATCTTCAATCTTGTCAGCCATTTGATATTAATATAGTTTACAAAATAAAATATCTTTCTTCCTTTGGTCTTAAATTGCTGATTTTAATAAGTGGAGCAAGCAGCAGTGATTATGCCGAGTAACTAAATAAAGAATGTAAAAGAACAGAAGCTCAAGTATATTGACATTAAGAAGCAACTCATGTAATGTATAAAACTCAATCTCATGACTTACTTTTGATAATCCGGCCCATTTATATGAGATTTCATATTGAGAGCATGTCTCTTGAGGAGTTCCATATAAAGCCTAAATGCTGCCGGCCGAGAATGTCGATTTGGAATAACCCTATAGCAAAGAATGGTAAAAATGAATGTCAGACAATAATGTCCACCAAAAGAGGCTGTAACCCAGTAGGAACAACAATTTTCTTCTTGAAAATTTTGTAAAACATTTGATAGATTAGGATGCCAAAAAATTTAGAATGCATTGTAAGGCCCTCACAAATCATGTCTACTAAATACTAAAAACAATTCAAAACCCAAATGGATCTGTCTATACCCTACACAAAAGAGAGATAGATCATTAAAAAAATCACATTTGTGTATTATCTTGTGTGAATGATTAAGTACTCATATATGCATTCTGAAAATGACTACCACTTTGTGCCATTAACAGAAATAAACATCCAAAGTAAAAACTGCACAAATCACACAGAGAAAACAATCGAATAGTTAAATTAGAACATAATCAACGGTGATAATTCACAAATCAAAGGGTGGATGATTGTTCAAAATAATTCACGGAAGATCTCCAATCACTCAACCACTGATAAAAAAAACCCAAAACATCAAATCACCAAAAGACATCACAGAAATTAGAAACAACCCCATGAAAAGAACATTTCAAAAACAAAAACACAAACAGAGACCTGGTGGAAAGCAGAGCGAGGATGAGCATAGGAGGCACAATCTTGACCATCAACGCCTTCTCCAGAAATTTCCACGCAATGGGTACGTTGTTGTCCCAGCAAATGTGGGAGACCAAAAGGTTTGCGAGCTCAACTGATGGCAGAGATACCCCAGCGGAGCTCAAATTCGAAGAAAGCTGAATTGCCCACGACAGAGGCTCACTGCCCCTGTCTTGGGCCGCCTTTGTCAGCTCCACCACACCGTCCCATAGACTGCTCTGGAAGGACACCGCCATTAATGGGTCATATGTGGAGAGAGACAACTATTTGGCGGATAGAGTTAATGGGAAGAGTGGAAGTTTTGGTTGGTTATTGCTGATGATTCTTTTCTCTTTGCAATGTTGCTCTGGAATGTGAAAGTCAAATCAAGTTGTGAACTTGCACGGGTATTATGAAAATAGATAAATAAAATAAAATAAAATTTGAGAAAATTACGAATTTATCCTACTTTTATGGCGGATAGATAAAAAAAAGTCTAATAAAAATTTGGATAAATTTCACTTACTAGATTTGTCAATATCTCATATAGATTCTCTACGTTTTATAGTCTTACTTATCTCTCCTGTAACTGGATAACGATAATATATTTTTTACTACTTTGATCGTGAAATGTTTGTTAGTATTTCAGACATTAAAATGACAAAACTAACCTTTTATCAATTTTTTATTGCTGACATCAACAAATTCCGTTTGTCTCCATCAGGTACCTAACGGCGAAGGAGAATTTGTTACATAAATCAGAACCTTAGAGGAGGTAAATGGGATTATAAAAAGTAGATGGGATCTATGTGGGATATTAATAAACCTCAAGGGAGGCAAGTGAAATTTACCCTAAAAATTTTATAACACAATAAAATTTTACATTTTATATGTATTTCCAACAAAGTTTAATAACTAATTCAATCCCTCTTTTATATTCTATTCTATGATATATATATATATATATATATATATATATATATATATATATATATATATATATATATCACGAATGTTGTTTAACTTAATTTCTCCAAACAATTGTGCAAAAATTTGGATTTAATAAAAAGAATTAAAAATATAAATATATTTCAAATTCAAGATAAATTTGATACATTAAAATAATTTGATGCACTTTTTAAAATGAAATTGTATTATTTATAAAAAGAAAAAAAAAATTATACATTATTTCAAATTCACGGATACAATTAGATAATTTGATGTATTTTTTAAAATGAAATCATCTTAATTCTATAGAGATTTATGTTTTATTCTTGAGGTTTTTTTAAATGAAATATGAAGTGAAGAATTCAAAAATAATGAAAATAATTCATTTATTATTTATAAACCATCTCCAGAAATTTCCACGCAATTGTATTTTTGCATGTTATGAGTAGTTTATTATTATAGACCCAAAAGTTTTGATCTAAGAGTAATCCATTAATTTTAATGATTATCATTAATTTTCATACGATCATGCATGCATATGCATTCAAACGTCATAATTGATTCTTAAACCCTAGGGCTTGAACATCACTGAGATACATACAAAGATCTAAATCATTTCCAAGGCTCAATACACCTTTTAAAGTGTTTAAATTTAGAAAAATAATACTTGCACCGAATACTTGGACCCAAAACTCAAGTTGATGGTGATGAGTCACTATAGTTATATTACACTTAGAAAAATAAAATTATCCTTTCCTAATTAGAAAAGAATCTTAATTACCAGTAATATCTCTCATCTATCATCTCTATCCATTTTTTATTTTCTTCTTTTATCCTTTTCTCTATTGCCATCATTGATTCTCGATCATAACCAAGATACACAAATATATCACTTTACGCTACTCAGTGAGGAGGGTTTTCTTTCCCATTTATCTCTGGCGTTGTCGTCCTGAGAGACCACTGGTTTGATGTTGGTTTCGTGCGAAAGAGTGATGATCATACCCAATAGCTCTGTATACAGACACGCACCACTTTTCTTTTCTTCTTCTTTTTTTTTTTTTTTTTTCCTTCTTTTTTTGGAGTTATGATGAAAATTTTCAAAAACTTGTTATTTAATTTTATGTAATTTTTTATGTTTTGAGAAAAATTTCATATTCTTATACACAAATATATATAGAGGAGAGGGAGAGTGTTTTGATAAAATTTTAAAAACAAAATTATGGGGATTGAATTGCAGTATGTTTCCGAATCTATAAATATACATATACATATTCTGATGATTTCTTTTTAGAAATTTATATATTATTATACATTTATCTAGAAAGCAATAGTGTTCTAATAAATTTTATAAAAGGAATTTAAGGGATTTTTAATTATAGTTTTGAAATGATGATTTCTACAAAAAAGAGGATGAATTTGAGAAGGCAATATAAGGGTAATTTTGTCTTTGAAAATTTAATGGACATACTAATGGGACCATTTGATTACCATATGAATTTGTCTTTTTGTGCCACGGAAATTTGCCTAACAAACAAATCGGTCTAATTTTTCTGCCTGAGTATCATGACTCTTAATTTAATGTCTAAGTTCAACAAACTGACTGGTTGAACCTAAGGAGCCTGATCCATCCAGAGTTGAGAATTGATTGCTGTAGCTTTTCAATCAATTGATACAAATGTATTAGCAGACTGGTTTGAGAACTCAACTGGTGATTTAAACCAATCGATTGGTTCATGGTAGATTTGAATTCAAACGGCTATATACACTTAATGCATTCCCAAAACAACTCTTTTCAACCAGATTTCTCCATATGAATAGCTGGGCCATTTATGTACGAGTAGATACAAGTTGTGAGAAATATTTATTAGACCTTAAGAGCTAAATATTTATGAGACCATAAGAGCTATCATTTGAATATTCAATACACTCTTCACTCTCTCACTCATAACATTCAATATGCTTTGGAATCATCAATACTATAGTCTTGTGAACATTAATTTAAGCTATCTTATATTTGAGATATATATTCATTGTATTTCAATGTAATGATTGGTTTGACAAAAAAGAATGTGGTTCTCTTAGCAAGAAGGAAGGAGAAGTAAGTTTGCATTTTGTAAAGATTTGCTTTCCACCCAAAAGGAGAAGTCATTGTAGATTTAGAAAAGTCTCAAAAGAGATCTTGAGCTATGAGATAGGAGTTTCAAACCTCAATAAATCGCCGTGTCATTTTGTGTTTGATTCCTTCTTCCCTTGTCTCATTTATACTTTGCTTACTTTGAATATTGTCATATCGTGTTATTACATAATTTAAATAGATATGCACATTGTCTTGCATAATTTTTAAATTGGGAAAATTAGCCATTGTTTATCACAAACTCTATTCACCCCCTTCTTGAGTCAATATTTGAGTAACAATTAGCAAAGTGAATTTGAAATAATTTGTTAAATGTTTTTGGAGTATTAATTATAGTAGCAAATAGTATTTTTTTTTCCTTCTAAATAGATATTAGTTATAAATTTTAAAAGTGCAGAGTGAAAAATTTCTTTTATTGAGGAAAGACATTAATGGTAATTTAGTAAATTAGTAAGAAAGGATAATACTGAAAAAGTTTGTTGATTATAGAATATGTGCTTATTTGGAAATTTTATTTTTAAGTTAAATATTTTTCTTTTCAATTATAGGGCTTATTTGTCATTAAAATTTAAAAATAGGACTAGTTAGTAATTTTATCAAAATAAATGGTAGTGAGGGGTATTTGGGACAATTGGCCATGATGAGTTATGTGAATTTAGATTCCTAATAGGCATTCTTTAAACTTATAAGTATTATTGCCCATAGTTTATAAAGCTGAAGGGCAAAATTGTCATGTCATTTTATATAGCACTTAGACATTTGTATTTTGTACACTGACACCAATCTACGCCAACCTCTGTAACCATGAAAACAATATCTTGTCATATAGAGTAGTTGTGAAGGCGCTATTTGCCTTAAAAAAAATAAAACCCACTTATGTTCTGCATGTTTTATAATAAATAATAGATACCATATGACATAGATTTATGATATTGAAAATTATTTAGGAGTCACAGATCGCCTCTCTATAATTAATTACATATTTATCAGCAAGTTAGGTAACACATCCAAATGTGACTTCTCAAAGCCCAAAAAAAAATTTAATTAATTAATTAATTAAATTAAATTAAGATATGTAAGGTTCACTTTCCCCAAGAGAACAAACAATAGATCATCCATTAATAATTATGCAATTGCTCCTGCTTAAATCCTCATATTTAAACCTTATAATCCTTTCTTACCGAGGACCAGTGGATAATTTTTATTTTTTTCTTACAGAGGACAAGTGGACAATTTTTATTTTTTTTTGGGTTGCGATCTTTAGAACTTTTAAATGTGAATGGTATAATTTATGAAAGTCAAACAGATTGAGGGGCATTACAGAGACTCGAATAATAGTATAACTTTAGTGTCTTTAGACAGTTTGCTTAAACTTATTGGTGACTGAACAACAACACTTTAATATGATTATTCGATAATAATTAGGGTTTTGCATGTGTATGTTGACATGCTGTCCTATTGAAACATTATATATATATATATATATATATATATATATATATATATATATAATTTTGGTAAATTAGGCTTATTTTTTAGAGATTTGTCAATATCCCACGTAGAATTCCTCTTGGTTTTTATGTTTTTTGTCAGTGACAGCCGTCTAACTTAATAACGGTATTATATCCAACTTAATAACGGTATTAATCGTAGTATGCTATTTTATCGTTTTGTCCATAAAACATTTGCTTTCATTTCAAGTATTATAACGACAAAATTGACCTTCTATCCAATTTTTACGATTAATATCAGCGTTGGTAGAGATTCAGAATATAAGTATTTGAAGTCTCGCTTTCGAATCGAATTTCTGACTTAAATATTGCGTGTATTGTGAGGTCTATGACATAAACTACAACTTCAGGGGAAGTAGATGTGATTATGAAATTTAGATGGAGTCTAAGTAGAAAATTGACACAGTCGTGAGAGATAAGTGGATTCTATCACCTTTTTTATTGGAAGTTGCTTAAATTAAGGGTAGAGTTGTAATTTCACTCAATCGGAAAATGTTCTTTTCTGGTCACCAAATACCATGACTTTGTCAATTCTAAATGCAAGGATTCAACTGCATCAAGTGCATTTTAAGGCAATGGCCCACCTTTCCCATAAAAAAGGCCATGGTCTATCGCAGGCCCACAGGCTAGGGCTTCATATTTCACATTGGATATAGAAAAACATAATAAAATAGTTATATTGGGTTCACCCCACTGTCCTTCTATATATTATTTTATGGCATTTATTTTATGGCATTTATTTTATGGCTTTTAATAATAAATCAAGTACTAGAAAACCTATAGTGGTTAGGGGTAGGTAAGAGATGATGACCGAGAGGGAGAGGGGGCCAGATATCCCCATCAGAGGTTGGTTATGGTGGTGAAGACATTGCTTTAGGTATGGAAAAGCTACTCTTTTTCTCCACTTACCCCATAGGCCAACTTTATTCCCTGTACCTTTAGAATGTACATCATGATATCTTGGTAGGTAAGCACTAGAGGAGGGATAACTCAGAGAGAGTCAGGACTCATATTCATTTGATAATGAGATAATGGGACCATCATTATCCTCAGATCCAAACACTCATATAGCATGCTCTCACAATTTTATTTATTTTACATTGTCTTATTTGAAATAAAATCGTAAGTCTGGACTCATAGTTTTTCTTTGGTTGTCCATATATTCATGTATTTTGTTATCATATACAAGGGTAAAGAGAGAAAAACATCTCTAATATTTAAAATTTGAGTAAATAATACCCTTAACATTTATTTTGAGTATATAAGTCCGTTAAGTTTAAAAAAAGAAGAAGCAAATAGAAACTTAATTCATATAATATGTCAAAAAATCACATTTAAATTGTTGCACATGACTATATAAAGTAACAAATTTCCTAAACTGCCCATATGGTCTCCCCAAAATACCCTTATACCATTTTACATATAACCACATGATGTCATTTTTGGTTGTCATATTTTGATCATTTTACATTTATTTTGTCTTTCACCTTTTTTTTTTTCTTCTTTGAAATACATAAGGGCACTTTAGTCTTTTTATCGCTTCACAGACCACAGGTTCTCGTTCGCACCAAAAATAAAGATTAAATACTTTTAAGAAACTATAAGGGGTTATATACCCTATTTGAATATCATAGGGCTGTTTATCGCTTGCGACCTTTTATATTATCATGTAGAGTTTCGTGATAGCTCACTTGTTGAGCAAGAAAACTCTTGTAACTGAGTGTGGTAATGTTGAGTAGAGCATCTGACCTCAGTGGTTGTTGGATGCTCTACTCCCTTATTGTATTTCTTATTCTGTTGAATGAAATGCTTCATGTTGGTGAAAAAGAAGGAAATATACATATATATATATATGTGTGTGTGTGTGTGTGTGTGTGTGTGGGGAAGTCAATTAGGTGAAATGTTTGGTTATCAACGTGAGGGGCATGGCAACTGCCCACATGAGAAGTTGCATAAGTTGGTAAGATTTGAAGGTTGTATAATGGTAAGGGAGGGTTAAGAAATGAGAGCATGGATAATTTTATGGTTGGTTCTCTTAGTTTATCTATGGTGTTGTATATGTTATAATGATTACCAGCATTGTTTGAAAGTCAAGACATATGAGCAACATTTTTCTATTTATCCACCAAATGGATAAAGATATATTTAAGGTCCCTCTCAAAGATGGTACCATACCACCTCTGAGACGGCCAAGGCAAGCAAACATCATTATTAATTTATTATTAATAATTTATTGAGTTAATAGAAAATTGATCCTCTATCATGCTATCAGGAGAATTATCATGATAAAAAGTCACTAAATGTGTCTTATTTATAATAGAGTTCCTTGGGATAAAATTCATGAGCTTTTTGTATTTAATCATTAAATTGTGGTAATTTTTTGAAATATGAAAAAGTTCAATGAAGAATGTGTTTTTTTTTTTTTTTTTTTTTTTTGTGAACACCCTCAAACCAAACTGTTTGTCTAAGCTAACACTCACTGTTCTTCACTCACATTCTATGTGTTAAGCTAAGAAACAGAACACCCAACTCCACTATTAGCTGACCATTCTTTGATTATTGTTTTGGTTTTTCTTTTCCATTGCCTATCATTACTTCAGAATTAAAAAAGAAAGAGTCATTTCTTAAATGGTATAAATAAAAAAGGAAAGAAAAAAAAAATGGTGCTTTCTCATTTCCCCTCACGAACAGAAAGCTAAAAACTTTCCAAAATTGAATAGAGAGAGCAAAAGAAAATAATCACAAACTGAAAATTAATTGTTCCATGTTCCATAAATTTAAATTTACAAAGTAAAAATTCATATAATTATACAAATACAATATTATCAAATATTTTTTGTTTTAAATTTACAATGTATAAACCAAATATTTTTTGTTTTAAATTTTTTAAGAAATTTTTAATCTATAATTTATTCATTCGGTTAAAGTTCTACAAATGTTGCGTTTGGTGTGCATAAATGGAATATAATGGAATGCAAGTGGGAATGAAATGGGATGGTCATTCTCATTCTATTGTTTGGTTTGTAAATATGAAATGATAATAACCATTTTAGTGTTTGGTTTGACCAATTTAAAATTTAGAATGGAATAAATTTTAAATTGAATTCTCTAAAATATCACTCTTAGTAACAAATAGATAAAATTAACAAAATAACATTCTCTAATAATTTAAAAAAATAAATGGTGGTAGTGGCGGTGGTGGAGGAGGAAAGCGGTAGTGGTGTAGGTGGTGGTGTTGGAAGGCGGTAGTGGTGACAATGGTGGAAAGCAGTGACGACAGTGGCGGTGGAAGGCGGCAGTAGTGTTGCTGGAAGGCGGTGACAGTAGTGTGGTTATGGTGGTGGAAGGAGATAGTGGTGTAAGTGGCGGTGGTGGAAGCCAATGCAAGTGACTGTGGTGGTGGTGGAAGGTAGTGGAGGTGGCAGTGGTGGAAAGTGGTGACGATGGTGGTGGTGGAAGGTGGTGGCGGTGGCAGTTGTGGTGGTGGAAGGCAACGACAGCGGTGGTGGTGGAAGGCAGCGATAGCTGTGGTGGAAGGCGGCGGCGGTAGTGGGGGAAGGTGGTGGAAGGTGATGGCGGTGGGGAAAGGCAGTGGTGGTGATGAAAGGTGATGGTGTAAGGTAGTGGTGTAAGGCGGCGGTGGCGGTGGAAGGCAATGACGATGGAAGGCGGTGGCGGTGGTAGCAGTGGTGGTGAAAAGACGGTGGCTATAGTGAAAAGTGGTGGGGGTGGAAAGTGGTGGCGGTGGTGAAAGGCGATAGCAATGGTGGTGGTGGAAGACAGTATCGATGGTGGTGGAAAGTGGTGGCAGTGGTGAAAGGCAATGACGGTGGTAGTGGTGGAAGGTGGTGGTGGTAGCGGGGGTGAAAGGCAGTGGCAGTACGTGGTGGTGGTGGAAAGCGATGGGCGATAGTGAAAGTTGGTGGCGGTAGTGGTGGTGGAAGGCGGAGATGGTTGTGGTGGAAGGTAGTGGTTTTTGGACTTGGAACATAAAGGTCTTTTGAGAAGTTGATTTTTGTAAAAAAAAATTACTTGGGAATGAAATGGTCATTCCATAAGTATAGTTATGGAATGAATTTTAATTCCAATGGAATGGTCATTCGACTCATTTTCACTTTAAATTGTGTACCAAACAAAGGAATGGTTGGAATGGACATTTTATTCTATTCCATTCCTGCACACCGGGCAAACGTAGCAAAAATGTATTTGTCTTTTAGAAAAAAAGTAGGGGTCGAGAGTAATTTTACAAAAGGTGACGCTTAAAGAGAAATGTTGTATATATCTAATTTTGGAGAGTTTTTAGTTTCGTGTTTGTGGGGGGAAAGAGAAAACACCATGTTTTTTTCTTTTCTTTTTTTCCCCATTCTTTCCTTTGTTTTTTTCTTTTCATTTATACTATGTAAGAAGGGATTCTTTCTTTTTTAATTTTGACGTGGCTTAGCCAAATCAGATTCGGGAAGCGTTGCCTATCATTACTCTTAATTCTGACATGACTTGGCCAATTCAGATTCGATAAATTTTCGTGTTACCTATCGCTATTCATTCATAAATCATTCCCTCCCTCGATTTTCTTTCTACCCAACTAAAACAACACGAGAGAGAACAAAAAAAAAGCTCCCTTTCCTTCGCAAGAACCCATTCATTCAATCCAATTTTTCATGTTTTGTACCATAAGGACCATTAAGAATTACACCTCAGGTCCTACCAATACCACTAACAAACTAACATGCTTGGCATAATCAACGTGTATAGCACACTTGACCATGCCTATACAACTTTATAAAGGTACCATTCAACAGACAATACTACCATCCATACCAAATAAACAAAAGGTTCTGTCCTTGAGTAGGTAAAAAGATTTACCCATCCAATTGCATTTTGGTCATGCCAAAGAATTGATCTTTATCCCAAAAAGGCATACCCTTAAGGAGGAAGTCATGGCAAATAATTGATCTTTACCCAAAAGGGTTATACCCTTAAAAAGGAAGTCATGGCAAAGAATTGATCTTTACCTCCATAAAGGATTTACCCTTAAAGAGGAAGAGAAAAAAAAAATAATAATAAAAAAATAAAAAAAAAATAAATGAATAATATAATCTAAGGCTAAACACAATGACATCTCCAAAATTGATGGAGCGTAGAGTAATAAGACCATTTCAAACCCTGTTTTCTCATAACCCAAACAGAACTGTATTGACAACAAAAGCTTATGACAGGTCATCCGATAAATTTAAGAAAGAAAAAAAAAATGTGCATAAATTAACCGCCAACACACACACACACACAAAAAAAAAAAAAAATCTGCTTCACTGACATCAAGAAGTACAGTTTTTCGTGAACATGGAGAGTCCAATTTCACATGCATTCAGCATTTTATATTGACCCTTTCCCCCCTGCCAAACTTTCAAGTGAAAGAATCTTGACAGATTCATGGGGTTGTCCAGTTCCCCGCCCGCCTTAGCACAAAGCTGGGAGGAAAAACTAAAGATACAGCCAACATTTATTGTTGTTACACCTGGTGTAAGAAGCAATCTCAATTAATGACCCAAAAAAAAACAAAAAAAAAAAACTTCAAAATTCAGAGGAATATCAGAATTGTTTTAATTGCAAGATGGTGTTGGGGCAACATGAGTCACCTTCAAGCACACAGCACAAGTTAGCAATATGAAACAAAAACTCTACTGCCCATATCAATATTTTATCAACAAAGAATAATTATGGGTTGGATAAAATCATAAAAGCAACAAAAGTGGATGTGAAGTGAAAAGTAAATATGATAGATTCATCGCACCTCAAGTGGTAAAAATGCCTTTCCAATTACAAGACAAACACTAAAAGCCACAGAAAAGAAACAATGGTACATCCAAAGAAAGTGTATAGAATATACATGGACGGCCAATATTAATATATAATAAACTTCTGAATTAGACAATTTAAGTTTTTTTTCGGGGGGACTGACACCTGAGACAATGAACTGATGCTTTTGGATCGAGTAAATGTTGTTTACTCTAAACAAAATTATAGCAGCAAAATTTGTGTGCCGTGAAACCAAAACGAATTTGATGATTAGAAGTCCTCGTCCAGTTTGAAGACAAAATTTTTCTCACCATCTTGTATGCACGACATGACAGAAGCTTTCTGATAATCACCCACCCTTCTCTCAAAGAAGTTAGCTTTTCCTCTGCTCAATAAAACAAACAAATTAGATGAAAACATTAAGTTCCTTACCCAGAAGAACATATAAATGAGATTAAACATAATTCAAGCCTGCTTTATTATCATAACTGGAGTGCTTAAACACAAGCCAGAAATACTTCAGCTCGGAAATAAAAAAATCAAAACTGGATAAGTCAAAAGACAAAATTAAATTTATTTGTAAATTTTGGTGTGAAACAATTGAAAAATAAAATTTAAAAATTAAAAAAAAAAGAAGAAAGAAAAACAAAAGAAAAGAAAGAAGAAGAATGTCCTGAAATCCCACAATCTAATTTACCAATACTTCAATTGACTATACATCCTGCATGTTCCCCCTATAAACTTTTTGTATTATTAACTAGTAGAAATTAGTTCTCATTTCTTTTCTAATGGGAAGAAAATAGTTTTCATTTTTGTTTCAACATAATTGATGGAAAATACATAATTTCAATATTTACAGAGAACATCATTATGCACAGTTTGGCAATTGGCAATGGGTCGGGAACCTATTTTGATAAATCCGAGTTGTCATATAATTTTAGGATAATATGACGATAAGATCAAAAATATGATTATACTCCACTGCTTTGACTGGGAAGCCCACAAAACAGATGACTATAATCATCATCATGATGTCTGGCAAAAAGTGTCTTAAGAGGCAACCATCTTGTGGTGGGTACTTATTAATTGTGCTAACCATGTGTCCTAACTTAGAGGAGTAACCAATGGGCCAATGGCCAGCGGTACCAAGCCCCTACTTCTCAAAGAGAGGTCAAGGGTTCAAGCCTCAGTGGAGGTATGTGTGTGTGAGTACCAACTAAAAAAAACTTAGGAGTAGAGATACTAAACATTGAGTCAAAGCTGTTGATTAATTGTACCAACCATATGTCCTAACTTAGGAGTAGAGAGCCTACACGTTGGGTCAAAGATGCAATATGCTCTGTTCTTTTTCTTTTTCTTGCCCCCCACGGATGTTAGAAACAAGAATACAAGATTTACAGGACCAAGGAGTCTATGGTTTGGGTGTAAGACTTGTGTTTGATGTTCCGCTTTTAAGTATTTAATAACTTAATGTACATTTATCAACTCCAAGCACTGGATTCAGAAAATCTTAACGCATGTTTTCATCAATACTCACTGCAAGGAAATGAACTCCATCCAATCGAAGGGATTTTCCACGTTGTACTTCATCTGGCACCCTAACTCAACCTGAAAATGAAAAATTATGACATTCATCAAGAACCACCAAAATGGTCCCTTTGGGATTAAAAGATAAAAAAACTGTCATACCAGAAGGCGGTCAGCGACAAACTTTATATATTGGCTCATGAGTGCTGAGTTCATGCCAATCAAGGCACATGGGAGAGCTTCACAAACAAATTGAGTCTCAATTTCAACAGCTTGGTGCACAATGTGATGAACTCGTTGCCATTGTAGTTGCTTCCGTAATAACCTGTCAAAAAGTAATAATTAAGTTCTTTCCAGTTAGGCCCCCACTCCCCCAAGCAGCATCCTACAAAAATATGACTTTGATTTCCAGACAAGCATCATTTATGAAAATCATAACAAGGGTAATGAAGTAAAGCCACCTGTACAGAAGGCAAGCAAAGTCACAGTGGAGACCCTCATCTCTAGAAATAAGCTCATTTGAGAATGTCAAGCCTGGCATCAGTCCCCTCTTTTTAAGCCAAAAAATGGCACAGAAACTGAAAGAAAGAAAACTTGTGTATGTGATGTGTGAACCTTTTACACAAGCATGACAAATAAAACCATTTTTACTTGAGGATATACATACAGAAAACTGTAATTTATATAAGCATACCTTCCTGAGAAAAAAATTCCTTCAACACATGCAAAGGCAACAAGTCTTTCTGCAAATGAGGTGGAGCTGCATATGGAGATTAGCTTGCTGAGGATTTGTTGAGAAGTAACAACTCATCGCACTTGTAATACTATGCTCAAACTAAAGAGTGCAGCTAAACTAAGTGCAGCTAGAACAGAACAATTATATAAGCTGAACAGAGTTAAATCCAAACGGCTATACATGTAAAACAGGAAAAGGAAAATAGTTGTGCATATTGTTTCAAGAGTAAGTTACATTTTGAAAATTTTGCATAATATGAGATGACTAAGGCTGCTATATTCAGCCAAACCATTGGCAGGTGATGTGCCAATTTTTCAGGAAGCCACTTCAATTATTTAGAAATAGCATATAGTTATTATCAATAGAATACCTAAATCTTACACATCAAAAAATTTCAAATTGGATGTTCTACATTTCGATTAGCTGATCTTCTCTTACAAGCCAAAGTGATCCTTAAGGCACGTAATGTAGTGGTTAAACATAATATACTAGAGATAAAAATGCAATGGAAACCAGAGTATGTCAAAAATATAATGATAAAGATTAAGACATCTTATTTTCTGATCAGCACATGCTTCTTGTACATGCTTCCATGCCTTTGGAACAAACAGAAAAATAAAATAGTAGTAGTAATTATTTTGTTGGCTCTATCCTCCTTTTTTATTTGTTGGGTGGGGGTGGGTGTGGGGGGAAGCTATGCATATGCGGGCAAAAACACAGAGATAGGCAGCTATGAACTAAGAGATAATTATTGCAATTGAAACATGACAATAATTTTCAGATCACTATAACTCAGATATGACATGAACACAACATTCATTAATGTTTTTTCTATCAATTCTAGGAAGTCAAGCATTACTCCAATGAATAATTTAAATTCATATAGGCTATTTTTATTTTATTTTTTATTTGGGACAGAATTACATATAGAAGTGATTAAAGTGCTATATAAGAATGTGTTAACACCTTTGAATCCAATCTAAAGCCCACTTGGCCTTTTCAGCAACACAAGGAATGTTATCAATTGCATTGAATAATCTGTGTTTCTCCTGTGAGTCCTTGATGTAAGTCTCCAGAAGCAAGCTGTACATCTCTAAGAATTGGAGGAAAAAATATCCACAATCAGGTGAGCCAAGAGTGTATCATACAGTAATTTACCACAATATCGCTTATAAAGTAATACCAGAATGTATATTCTCCATTGCAATTTGGAAGCCATAAAATGCCCGCGCCTGAAAATAATAAGAAGGATTGGTGTTAGTTTCAGGGATAGTAAAGTGGGGCCAACATTTAAAAAGACATCCTCAATGAGCTAGAAAGATAGAATGTGAAAGACATGGACATCTGAGAAATGTTATGTGTTGCATCTCTAAGATACAGACGCATTAAAATGGAGGCCTCATCCAGTCATCATAGTTTAACTGCCACTGGCAAATAGCACTTCACCAACATAAATTTTATAAAACTTCAGATAAATCTAATTTCCACTGGCAAGCAAAATGCTAGGGCTGTCAAGCATGAGAACGTGAGTTTGAATTTTGAGAGGAGTCAATTTGTGTAAATATGCAGTCCACCCCTCTCAGCACCCTTGAGTGCCACACCGGGTAATGACCCTTTTGTTCAACTAATAGCTTCCCCCATCTTGCCTTATCTTCCTCCCTTTATTCCCTTTACTTTGATCTCCTAAAATCTTTTCTATTTTGGAATATACTCTCACTGCAAGTCATGCTCTACAAATGAACCTACATCTATAAGAAAAGAGAACTAACATCCATAATGACAAAAAATCCTTAACAATATCTCTGAATGATAAATTTCTCTTTCTAGGAAAAGGAAAGTGGTACGGAGTTATACTTTTTCCAAGAATAAAGGTTGGCCATTATTGATATGAAATGATAAATTCCACTTATTGTAAATTGTAGAGATCTAATCTTATAATGTTTGATGCACTAAATTGCAAAAGAGATATGAAGCAGATGAAGAATACATCACCAACGGTGAAATCAAGCATCAATATATATAATAAAAAAAATAAATAAAAAAATAAAATAAAATGAAACCACATTCTTTGTATAGAAATTTACCTCTGGAATTTGTACATCATTTAAAAACCGTGCAGCCAAATTCTCCAAAACAATCCCATCAGATGCAGCAAAAAATGCAAGTACATGACTTATAAAATGTTTCTCCGAGTCTGACAAAGCGTTCCACTGCTGCACGTCCTGGGAGAGATCAACCTCCTCAGCTGAGAGCCCGATAACATAATATTAGCATAATTATTGCCAACAAATGTATAAAAAAATAACTGTGAAGAGGAAAATCGGAGAAACATATAAAGTAAAACAAAACCAGGATCACTGGGTAGATTGAACTTGATTACAAACATGAAGAAGTTCAATATGTTAGGATGTCATAATATTTCCTAATATCCTTGAATGTCTCATTTAAAATCAAAATACAAAAAAGCAATGGAGAATTTTTTGCTTTCTCAACCAACAGCATTATTACAATCATCATCTCCTGATGGTATTTCATTGCCATAAATACCATTCAAACAAAACAACTTCTGCCACATTAAAACTTGGTGGAAAAACCATTGCTGACACAATCATCTATCTTCCCCCCATTCCTGGTACTCCCGCGCTTTTCTCCGTAAAGCTACCCACATGCTTTCCTAGCTTTAAGAAAATATCATTTCAGCATGATAATTTAGGGGTTAAATGCATTAAGCCTGCTTAACCTCCAATGGAGGATTTCTATGCAAACGACCAATACATAACATCTTTGAGATCGTATAAATGTGGATGTTCTCTGAGCAACTGTGTGAAACACACTAGGATGTCCCAAATGCGCATTTCTAAAAGCTTAGTTTAATGTCTCAACATTAGTATGGTGCTTGTTGATGGCAGAATCTAACAATATCACTGCCGACTCATGACAATGATTTAAGGGTCTTCTGCCTGGTGATTGGATTTAGTGCTTTCTTGAGAATTGATGCATTCCATTCATCAAACGCATGCAACCTCCTTCAGCATGCTTAAGGACGAGGATATTTTCACAATGTTCCTAGGACAGTTGTTTCCCCACAAGCGCTTTACAGCTGTAGGGTTTTGCACTTAAAAGTTGTGGAGACAGCACGACTGATCAAGACTTTCATAAATGCCAAATTGTACATTAATGCTGCCAATTTGCCGTCAACAATGTTTTGAGACTAATGAGGTTCAACACAGTTTCTCTCCTACTACACTCTCCCTTAATTTGTTCTTCTCCCACCTGAAGTTAAAGGCAACTTCGTTATACCTCACAAAATCTTACCTAGTTTAGGAGTTTAACTCATTCAACCCTGGTTTCAAGTAATAATCACAATCGGAATGAAACACATAACCAAATGACTTAATACTTCAGTAAAGGTGCAACTGTGACTGCCATGCTATTTTATAGATTTTTTTTTTTTTTGATAAGTTGCTATTTTATAGAATTTAGATAGCTAATTCTATTCGAAAGTGCCAAAAGTGCTGGAAATTGCTTATTCATGCACTATTTCATACCAAATCCTTTCTGATATACTGTATACATCTCGCTGTAACTCACACAGTCCATGATATAGCAGGACAGAAGCACTCCTTCCTTCTTTCTTTGTATCACCTCATATATTTACACTAACGGCCAACCAATTGATACCTTATGCAACAAAGAACCAGAAAAATATGCTTTTTTTACTTTCACTTTTCATTAAAAAAACAAAAAACCCAACAAAAAGTGCTACAGATTTCACATCTGGCGATTACCTGCTTCAGAGCTTCAGGGGTTTGTAGCAGAGAGGAATAGTTCTCTTGACCCCAGTCAGGGCACAAAAAGAACTTACTATAGGCACAATCAAACAGTGTCAACAACTCTAAACTAGCTTGATTTTTGAAGGAAAAAGAAAAAGAAAAAGAAAAAGAAAAGCAAAAAGAAAGAAAGAAAGAAAGAAAAACGAAAAAAAGAAGAAATAGAAAAAAGAAACCCATATCTAATTCCACTACAAAAAAACCACTGATAGCCCACATCAGTTTGAAAAATGCATCCGTAGAAGCAACTGAAAAATTGACAGTGTAACAGAATTTTCAAAAGTAACCCATCACTATGAAATGAGCACAACAATCATATAAATCAGCAAAAGTTTGAACAAACATCAATTAATTAACATTTGAATTACCAATTCCGGATACTGGAAGAGACAGACTCAATACAGACTTAACATTTGACATTAATTATCTGCATAAACTAACTGCTCTCTGACTCAAACCCTCATTGCCCACATCCTTACTTGCAACCCCAACATGACCAAACGATACCCAATTCAAAATAGTCGTAGATATGGTGAAAATATCCAATTTTGGGCAAAGACTCCAAGAAATTTTCAGCAATCAAGAATACGTAAACAATATATATAAATATATATATATATATATATGTATGTACAAACAGAAGATATGATAGGTATAGATTACCTGTCCAAAAGCTCGCTTCGGCCTTCTTATACATCTCCCAGACTTGCGGATATGTGACAGGAAACATGCATAATCTCTGAGATTTCTTCGACAAAATAGGCTCTTCTTCTTCGTCTCTGTGTCGACCCATCTCTGCTTCATTTCTCAGAGAACCCATTTTCTTTTTCTCTCGCTATATATTATGTCTCTCTATTTTTGAGAGGGGCTTTGCTGGAAGAAAATGAAACCCTACAAAACCCCCCCCTTCAAGAAACGGACAGGTTTGGTTGTTGATACAGAATTACAAAACCGTAATCGCAGATTTGTTTTTTGGTTGTATATCCTTGCATGGGTTGGAGTTATGTGATTCTCAGGTTGGGACAGGAAATTCCTTCATACGACGCCGTTTCTGGTCAGTGGTGACTATGCTTTGATAATTCAATTTGGGGTGCTTTGTTAATTCAATTTGGGGTGTAACCTGAAAAGATAAAAAAGAAAAAAAAAAAAAATGAATTAAGGGTGTACTCGTGGATGTTGAGACGTGGATGACTTCAAGCCAACATACAAAATTCCGACTCAAATCCAAGTGTAAATTACTTATAACCTAGGAAGCACATATATTCTATACGGTGGATGTACAAGTATTGTACTTGTATTGAATTTGATATTTGTACAAGTATTGTATTTGTATTGAATTTGATATTTGTTAAATGTATTTATAATTTTAAAATTTTAACATGCAAGAGCATCTCCAGCGATATGTTAAATTTTTTTGTGTAAATCTAATGTGTCAGAATAGATTTACACAAAAAATTTGTACTAACTATTTTTAGCTCCAACGATTATTTTATACCTTTTATGTAAAAAAGTATCTCTTAATAACAACAATCACGTGTCATACCCAATGCCCTACATAACTTTTACAAATCTACTTTATTCAGTTTACTTTTTGGTGATTAAATTTCACGTCTCAATCCTCCTCCATTAGGAAAAAAATAATAATTTTCCCCTATATTTCACTTTCCCATTACCACCGGAAACTTATAACAAATAATAAAAATAAGATTATAAGTATGTAAAAATTACGTGATTAATATATATATATATAATCTTTGGCTAGTACATATTTATCTCATTAGAATAGAATGTAAAAGGATAAAAAATCTAAAAAAAAATCCTAAAATCTACATTATGATTGCAGAAGATAAAGATCAAACGAAAATGATGAATCAAACTATATTTATTAAAAAATATATATAAATAAATCAAAGATGGTCGATTTGTTCTTGTCTTACCGCCCGTTATAGATTCTTCTCTATTGCACTCTAGAAAAGTGGGAAACAAAGAGGCGTAAAAGAATGAGAGAGAAGAAAGAGAACCGTGGGTGGGAAAGGGGGAGGAGAGAGAAAATATGTTTATACATAGCACTTTTACACATTGGTGATGTGGCAGCGTATCTTAACAGATTGCTGGAAATGAAAAAAATTTACAAATCATATGTGCCCATGTATATTTTACACAAAATGATTTTTTAACAGACCGCTGGAAATGCTTTAAGATACTTTTAAAATACTTCCAAACACATTTTAAACAATTTTTGAACTTAAAACGCAAATTTTTTAATAATAATAGGGAGGCAATATTCGTACTCCACTTTTTTCCCATTGCACTTCACTTATTTATTTTTTTTTCTTTTAAAAATAATGACAAGAAGGTCCTTGAATTCATTAATGCACTATGCCTTATTTTATAATGCCATAACTAACCTTTATATATACATATATATATATATTTTACCTTCTTTAGTTTCTTTACTATTTTTTCCGTGTGCTATACTTTCTTTTCCTTTTCTCTTCGAAGGTCTTCTTAAAGGAGATAATTTATTCCATACTGATAATTTTATTTTTGGCCGTCAAAAGAGATAATTTATTCGTGACTTATTTTTGGTGGAATCAAAACAAATAATTTATTCAACAAAGTTGACTTTTTTTTCCCAGAGGTAAATACCAACAGGCCAGTGGCCTAGTGGTACCAAGTTCCTACTTTCCAAAAGGAGGTTAGGGGTTCGAACCTCGTTGGAGGCGGGTGTGTGTGAGTACCAATTAAGAAAAAAAAAAAAAAAAAAAAAAAAAGTTAGCTTTTTTTTCTTTTGTAATCTTTTATGGGTCCCATCAAAACAAATAATTTATTCAATAGAAATATATATACATATATATTTTAATCCTCTTTTTTCGTACTTTTTTTTTTTTTTTATCTTGACAAAAGAGATAATTTATTAAATAAATATATTTTTTTTCCTGTCAAAAGAGATAATTATTTTAATAGTTACTTTTTTATAATTATTTTAATGATTACACTTTTTTTTTTTTAATTTTTTATTTTGGTCCGGTCAAAAGAGACAATTTATTCAACATAATTTTTTTTTTTTGTTCCTAGAAACAAAATATTATTTTAATTTTTTTATCTTTCCAAAGAGGCCTAAAATATTAAAAATTAGAGATAACTAGAGAAAATCTGAAAAGACAGTTGTGTTATTTAAAAAGTAATAATCATTTATTTGTAAAGTTAAGGTTATAATTGTCATTTCATTTAAGATTGTAGTACAAATGTAGAAAAGTGGAGTGGAATTGCACCTCCCTAATAATATTATAATGGGCTAAAATCATTAAACCCTTCTCTTGTTTACAACCAATTAACAAAAAAAATCTTAAACTAACAAAAACTACCATGTTACCCCCTTTCCGTAGTAGAATCGTTAAGTTATTATAAATCGACGAAAATAACCTTCAGAGTATAAATATTAATTTAAAATTTAAATGTGTTTTTTTAATGACAATTATGTCCTTTGTGGGGTCCACCACAAAAAACCAAACCAAATTTTTCATTAGATTAAGGTTGAACCACGTGATTGGCATAGTTTTTTTTTTTTTTTTTTTTTTTTTTTTTTCACACCTTTTAGTCCAGGATATATATATATATATATATATATATATATATATATATATATATATATGTTATGGGGAAAGCTTTCATCCCTACCTTCATGGATATAATAGGCATATCCCCATTATTTTTGGACAAATGTACACTTAAAATATCAGTTATATGTGGTTTATATTAACGTTATTTAAGTCATTTAAATGATCTATTTTTTTTTTAATCTCGTCTCTGTACAATACCACCACAATCGCCACCATCCCCACCCTATTTCCAACACCACCATATCTTGTTTCTGAAAATCCACTTGGAATCAATGATGTTCTTGTCTGCAAGTCTTGGAACAAGAGTCCAAGTGTCATTCCTCTGGATTTGATCAATTTCTTCCTTCATTGCAGCTAACCAATCTTATCATTTTTGGCTTCATTGTAGGTCTTTGGTTTAAATGAAGAGAATATGGCAAAGTGACTATATTCTTCATCATCTTCTTGTTCAAGTTCACTAAGTCTCTTCTTAGCCCTAGTTTGACTGCCTTCTTTAGGACTTCTAGTAATGTATTCAGGTTGAACTTGCTTATGTAGAAAAGAAAATCTTACGCCTTTCTTTTTCTTCCCATTGTTCCAAAAGGTAAGAAGTAGCAAATGATTAAATGGAAGTTGTTTTGATTTATAACCTAGTTGATTTGAGCTTGTAAGTCCTTAGAGGTGTTTCTATACCCAGTGCCCTAAAGTCGTCCGGTTTGAAAGTCATTAACCTAACGCTCGACCTCATGAATCGCTAGAAAGCTTAATAGATCAACACATTATACCATGTTTCCATCTTTGATCCTATTAAAAAAAAAAAAAAAAAAATCAAGTGAAAAGAATAAGTGTATCTAGTTGAATAAAACTTTAATAAAAGGTCTATTCTCTGTCTTGATGATCAGTACTAGATTTGTATGCTAACTTGAGGCCGGATGTGATCATTTCTTTGGTTAGCTTAGGCAGCAATATATTTGATGCCGGTTCACTTAAAAAAGATTCTAGAGTTGTTTTGATTTGCATGATCATTGTCTTGATATATGGAAGACCATACTTGTTTGCTTGGTGTTGAGATTTTGGAAGATTGCTTAGATATAGTTGAAAAATTACATACTTGAGGTAGTTTTCTCCCAATGTTTGTTTTGTATGTTGGTACCTTGAGAAAGAGCTTAATGTTCGTGAGTATCATTTCTGGAAACTCTTACGAGACTTCACTAGTCCATTAGGGATAACCTAGGAGTTCAAAAGGCTTGTTGCACATGCTAAATGCAATCATGTTTCCTACGAAAGTGGTGCTATCATTTTATTGCTTTCTAGGTCATAGTTGCTTTGTTGTTTATTTCTTTCTTTTCTTTGTAGTTCATTGCTAGGGACTAGTAATATCTAAGTTTGGGGGTGTGATAAGTGCTCAAATGTGATGCATTTTAGCACCTAAGTTAGGGTATTTTAGTCCATTCATTTATCTTACTTTCACGTTTTAGTACTTATTTGTGTTTTTATCTATTTCAGGTCAATAAGGCTCAAACAGGCTAAAAAGAGCCTTTTAGCTCAATTTTGGAGCTAAAGAGAAGATTTGAAGAAATTAGAAAATTTGCATTGTGAAGCTTCAATCGATCGAAGGAAGTCCCGATCGATCGAAGGAAGCTACAATCGATTGAAAAGAAGGCGATGCCAGCTCAATGGATAAGGTTGTCAGGTGTCAAAAATATCTTGCCATGTGAGCTTCGATCGATCAAACAAAGTGTTGGATCGATCGAAGTGACTGCTGGTAGTGTGTTGTCTAATTCCCGAGCACGCCCGAACTCTACCAACTTTTGTAGCTGCGAGTTTTCACCAATCAAAATCTTTATTTCTGACTTATTGCCTACTCAAAGAGCATTATATTTAAATTAAATGAGCAAAAATTGTATAGGACCTCTAGTTGTTCAATTATATTTTTTTTACTAATTATAGAAATAGTTTCTCTCTCTAGAACTAGGGTTTTGGAGCAAAGCAAAGATGACGAAGATGGTGCCAACCTTGAAGACAACCCTCGAGGGTTCCATGGCCACTACCATGAGTGGCTAAATCCTTCTTTTGGGGCTAGAAATAGCCCCTAGGCTTGCTTCCTAAACCTAGCGTTTTGTGATTTTTGGGGATTTTAGTTGTAATTGATGTTTTGACCATGAATAAATATAGATCTTGTGTTTTTACATAATTTGTATGGATTAATGCTTCCAATTGATCTTTTAATTCTATTTATATGTCTATGTATGCTAGAATGAATGGTCATGTGATTATACTAGATTTTTAAGAGTTTGATACATGTCTATGTGTGTTGAAATTATAGATCTAGTGATGGTCAAGGCATTGTGCTTAATTGATTACTCTTGTGGTGTGTTTG